ATGCAGATTATACAATTTGCATGTTACGTGGAGGTCCTTCGAAGAATCTTGATTTGCACGGATTTTACGAAATAAAGAACCGTGTCTGTGCCGACTTATTCTGTATCTACGTCACTCAGAACTTATAATATGAAGTTTTTATTGCGCTGCAGAAAAAAAATTGCAGCATGCTGTATGCAACAGCACCTGCAAATAAATGCACAAGCAGCAGGGACGCACAGAAAACACACACACGAGTCACACGACACGCAACAAACCACTCAAACCAAACACAAGAGCGAGGAGTGGTTTGTCGAGCGTCGTGTGCGATACGTTTCCAGTTGTTAGTGTACTATGGAATTCCGCAAAGTATATTCTATTCCATATATTCTGTACTTACCTACCTACATGCCTACCTCCATTCCATATCTTGGCTTTTTTTAAGGGGGGGGGAAATCATCGAATGACTGCTTCCGCCTGGGTGAGGCGGGAGGGAGTGTCAGACTCTTACTGACACTGACTAAAAACCACCCCGTTCCTTCTCCTGCACGTCGAGTGAAAAGTGGATTACTTTGTACATTGGCATATGTGGCTTTATGGCAAGAATTGATCAATAATGGCAATTAAAGTAAATATTTAATAAAATTCCTCGATCTATTAGAGGACTACCTTTGTGTCAAGTTGAAAGCATGGCTAATTGAAAAATATTTTTTATAGTATTAAGGACTTGACTTGACACCTTGACTTGTATTTAAAATTTTAATTTGACATTTTGAAATCTGCATCTTGACATTACTTAATAATCAATTAAATTAAATTACATTAAAAACATTCGCATGCCTGGAAAAGATGGAATACAGTGTACTGTAAAAAATTAGACTAAGATCCATTGTATCACATGTTCCTGCGAATAAATGTCTATTTCTATTTATTTCTATTTCTATGGTGTCATCTTTAAACAATTGAACATTGTAGGTAGGTAGGTACCTGGGTACAGAAACGTACAAAATTATCAATTTATAGTAGAACACATAATTATAAATAATTAAGTAGCTAGTAGATGCTTCATCATCATCATTAGCCCATTTCCGTCCACAGGTAGACATAGGTATCTCTCTTGCTAAAGGAGGTAGGTATAGATAGATGGAGGTAGTGAACTCCATGATCCATCACATCTAAGCAACTGTTTTTAAAGCTAAATAACTATGTGGTAAGTAAACGACTTTAATATTTTGAATAAGAGCATAATTATACAATTTTAATGAACTTTCTTGATTATTCTATTTATTTTTTGTTGACTAATGACATCTAGCGTCTAATAGTGGCAGCTTAAGAACTCTTAGAAGCTCTTTTTAGTAGATTTGTTGAAAATCATTTACTGATAATTAATTTATACAGTGCACGTTTCAATAAATAAAAAAAAGAAGGAATGAAAATGATTAAAAAAAATAATTTGTTTAGCATACATTTTTTATCTATGGTCGGCCATTTTGAATTTTGATAATCTGATTGACCGTCGAAACAATCTTGATGTTTTTCAATGTACCTGTAATTTTATTACTAAATTAACGTTTCTATTAAGCGATATAATAGCGCCACATTCATCACCATCATCTCAGCGTGTGTCTCTCGTTTCCAAGGGGTCAAATAGTGTTCTAACGATCAGCTGTCACGTATTACTGACGTGTAGAACACAAACAAATCTAATATTTTGGGTTTGATATGCTGTTTTCACGATGAACAGTACGTTTAACGAGCAGCTCGGTAGCGTAGCCGGATTGTTCGATCAATGGGGCGCGTGCGAGCAGACTGTGTTGGCCTGCACACTGGCACGGCGAGTCCCGTGGCCAGGCCTGAAACTGGTGCAGCGAGCAGTTGAGGCGGCGCTGCGGAGCCACGTCGAGGACGAAAGGCTCGAGCGCGATGCCAACGACGAGGTGCACTTGGCTAATCTTCTCACAGTGAGCGGCGACGACGATGACGGTATCTACCCATTACTATTGCCTTGCCATAGCAAATGTTCTTGTCACGGTTTTCCTTGTAATGAGGATGGGAGTGTATTATCAATTTATGGATATTATAGCAGTGTTCCTAAACATAAACTCCCACAATTTGACCAGTGCAGTATTCAGTATAGATATTATCTTATTGCTACACTAATAAGAAAAAATATAACTTAAAATGTTTAATCAACTACCCTAAAAATCTTTTATTAGTATGTTCCTATAGCCAACATTTGTTATCTACTGTTTGAAAAAATATCTAAACTACACAATTCAGTTTCAGGATTTTGTATTGCATAGGTATCATTTACATATTACGGTTGGTTAAGTTTCATCATCAAGAACATTTACTACTGAGATCCACCCAACATCTATGGCACCTATGCAGTAACTATATGTCGTGGAGAACCTAACGGGTAACCGGGGCTCCAGCTTGATGTGCAGGAAAAGGAATGGGGTGGATTTTATTCAGTAAAAGTCTTGACACTCCCTCCCGCCTTACCCAGGCAGGAGCGGTCATTCGATGATTTTGCCCCCTTAAAAAATGCAATAATTATACTTACATGAATTTTGAGTACATCACTGACTCAGAGTGAAATATTATCAAATTATTAAAAGTACAGGAAAAGGGTGTAGGATTCTCATATATTTTTGCATTGACATTATAGTTGACATTAGTCTGAGGACTACCTACATACATGTTTACTCTTTGTGAAGCCTTCTAGTGGAATAATTACTGCTATGACTTTATCTTCTTATGATGATTTAATGTGTAAGTATATTTATTACGGCATGTAAGATTGACACAAAACATTACTTTTATTAGGTTGTGAACGCCTGCATCGCCTGCTTGGGTTACTGCCATTGCTCAGGATGGACAATGAGCGCTGTAAAGACCTGTACGTAACAGCTACACCAGCTCTGGTGCAGCGTTGTATGGATGCTCCACGCCGTAGTCCTGTTGTGCCCGATCAATGCCGACAGCTGCTGTCATACCTACTAGTTCATCCTGCACTTACACATCATGATGAAGGGTAATCATTATTTTGTTGATGTTTAGTATTTAAGAAATAGTGAATAGTTTAATTAAACAATTCTATTTACTATTACAATCAAATCATGTCTAATGCAATAATAAAGAATTTGAAATAATCTAAAATATAATTTCATTATGTGTTATGTTTTTTTTTTCAGGATATTAAAACAATGGTTAAGATATTTAGAAAACCACATTGCTGGCAACAGACCAGAGAGTGTTTGGCAACAGAGAATAGAACCATGCCTAATACCAGATTCTAACATTTGGAGTACAACAAACAGTTGTTTTAGACGAACCATTGGTAAAAACGTCGAATTTAGAGGCATCTCAGGCTTGGATGGTGTAGAACACTATAACCCAGACCTACTGCAAGAGTCATTCTCTAAAAACGGCCGTGATGTAGATATAAGTATAGAAGGAGAAAAATTAAATTTTGATGCAACAATATCCCAACCAAAGTCGCAACGATCTAATAGCTTGACACCTCCTTCAAGTAATTTTATTCACATGTCTTCATCTGCCGAGAATTTAAGTGATGCTCCTTTTGTCCAAAAGCCTAGAAGCTTTTCTCTGTCCAGTGAGCACAGTTTGAGTCAGATAAGGCCTATTAGTATAATGTATGGGACAACAGGCAGTGAAACAAGGCTGGACGATCTTAGATCACATAATTTCGGAGAACATCCGGGGATGTCGAATGTTGCGCAGTGGCTGAAAAGTCTGCGACTGCATAAATATGTATGGCTGTTTACTAATATGAGTTATGAACAGATGATGGCTATGGATGAAAAGTATTTAGAGAAGTTAGGTGAGATGCACATTCTATTATTGTTTATTGTAGTTTTTCAGAATAAATATTTATTTGTACTCTGTCATCAGTTTTGGACAAGTTCAAAGAGAATTTAACACTAATTGGGTTCGCAAGAATGCTGATGTCAGTTCATTTGAAAGGCTTATTGTCAGTAAACAAGGTGTTATTGTTTAATTCAGGTATTCTGGTAAGGTATGACCGTATGAGTGTTCAGTAGTGATTAATGTGAAGTGGTGTGTGCAGGAGTGACGAAGGGCGCACGGCACAAGCTGTTGCTGTCGATCAAGAAGCTGTCGGAGCGCGGCGCCGTGCTGGCGGCCGTGGAGGCCGAGCTGCGCGGCGGGGCGCCGGCGGCGCGCGCGCTGGAGCGCCTGCGCGGCGTGCTGCTGAGCCCCATGCCGGCCGCCTGCGACCTGCCCGCCGCCATCGTGCGCGCGCTGCACCTAGGTACCGCCCCGCCACGCTATACTAACTAGGTACTACATACGCCGCGACATGTTCACATGTTTGTTATCAATTTTACTTCCAGCATCCAAATGTCTGAATAAGGCGACGTGTCAACCCGCCGTGCGAGTACCGTCGCAGCTGGCGACGGAAGATGGCGACCACGAGCCCCCCGTGGACCCGATGTCGTTACACTGTTGGCTTGTTGAGAAGGTAAACAATCACATTCATACTTTTGGTCATAAGCTCTTACCTCACCTCACCTACCTTTCTAGATTTTTTTCAATAAACATACAATGATTCATTATAATATGGAAATTACATATGTATAAAATTTAAGAAGTCACCACTTCAGTGGAATGTTTTCAAGTGTGATCTGATTTTTACATTGTGATGTAGGCGTTACACCACGAAGCTTTCAGTCGACCAGAACTGCAGGAAGCACTGAAGGGGCTGCGACACCGCCTACCACCGCGTCAATTCTTCCACCACGTGTCTGATATGCCTCTCAACCGAAGATGTCCCAAGCCCAGGTACGTATCATCACATTACACGACAATTTCTCGACTCATATCCTACTGGTGAAGGACAAATACAGGTGGTATTTGTCTTTGCGGTGGTTTGGTGGTATAGAGACTGTGAGTACAGAATTGTAATTTGATGTTAGGTGGCGCATCGGGACGCATGCGGGACACCCGAAGGCAGCGCGGCCGCGCGCCTGGGCGGGGGCGGGGTCAGGCGGGGGCGCGGGCGCGGGGGCGCGCGCGCCGGCGGCGGCGGCGGACCACTACTCGAGCCTGGACGCGCTGTGCCTGCAGATGACGGAGCAGGCCATCAACTGACGCCCGCCGCGGCCGCTGTCGCTCGCTCTGTGTACGCACGGTTTCTTATGAAATCCTTAGTTTAGTTGGACCGGGCTCGCGTGGGCGGGGCCCGTAGTGACGCAAGTAGCTAGAGAAATTGCGGTTTTCGGCGTCGACTCGAGTGTCTGGCTCTCGACAAGCCGATGCCGTGCCGTGGAAGTATACAAATTATTGCTAGGTAGGACAGGATTATAGCTTTTTATATCGGAACACCCGCATTTGGTCATAGTTTCACTCCCCGAATACTTAGCTTAGTAAGTATTCTCTATCGATAATGCTAGTGTAATCGGTTACATCGACTCGATTGTATACAACTAATGGTATCCTAAATTTCTCTGGTGCTAATTTTCGCGAAGTTTTATTTGTAGTTAGCTGTATAGAATATATAGTTAGGTGAATATTTACGTAGTCGCGTAATGTACGTACGTACCGGTTGCATGTGGCTGCTTGTAGCGCGACATGGACTTACGTGAATTACTTATTTAATGTTGTTGACTGATGTTTGCATAATTTATGAAGTTCGCAAACTGTTATTATTTAAACTTTATTATTTAATGCAATGAATATTTATATTCAGCGATTATATTTTGACTGGATCAAAAATCTGATTGTAATGTGTGCAATTGATATATTTTTATTTACGCAATAGTTTTTCTATATTTGAAAACTTATAGATTTCATGTAAATAATTGACTAGTTCACATTATATTTATAAGGGTTATTGTTTTGTACAAAACATGTGTTGATGACATATTATAGAATAGAATAATATTAAAATGAAATGATTTTGACTATAATTATGAAGAGAAATGTATTGGGTTATGAGTAGTTTTGTTTGGGCATACTTACATGCTGTCTACAGATGTTTATATATTAGCCAATTGTACAGGAGTAAACAGAGTATATTTATTCTTTCTACCTACATACCTCAATTCTTGTTCTGTTCAATGTTTTCATTCACATCTGTGTTCAAGAGCTTTAGTTACTAATAATCTGTAGCGGACTGTGATACGGTTTGATTTGGATCATGGATCATGATATTCATCAGCACTAAAAATAAATATTGTGTAACATTTATTTTGTTTTACTCTTGCATCCTACCACCTGTGTTCTTACCTTTTATATTGTGTATCTTATTAGTTGTATGAAGCACAACTATTGCTTGGAATTATAATCAGGTTCTATAAACAACCAACATACTTGGCAAGATTTTATTGTTTAGACATGAAACCTAGCTTCATTGTAGTTATTATAATTTTTGGACTAGATACCATTCAATAAATAATAAAATTCACAAATAATATTTGGTATTGTTACAAATTGGCTTAAGCTTGAATAAATAACTTTGTTTTAAAACTTCTTAGCTTAGTCTCTCTTTATGAGTACCAATTTTGTGTCTGGCAAGATCACTCTTTCTATAAAATGACCGTGAGCACCTGTCACATGGGAATGGAATATGAGTTCCATGGAGTTTGGCTGTGTGGAAGTCCAGCATAGGCCTTGACGGGAAGCTCATTAGACAGTCAGCTACTTCACACTTATATCTGTCAGTCTTCTTATGTCTAAAGTTCATGTGACGGACTAAAGCATTCTGCTCATAAAAACTGCTGGGACAGAGTTCACACTTCAGAGGTCTTTGGCCATTGTGTCTCCACATGTGCACTTCTATGTTAGGTACATTTTTCAAGCAAATGGTGCAATGGCCTGACTTCTCAGAATGTTGTTTATCTATGTGGACCTTGAGATTGCCCTTCACATTGAATGTGCGTCCGCAATGGTTACACACAAATCTGTTTGGTTCTGAGTGCAGCCTCACATGTTTCCTCAAATTGTTTTGGTACTTGAATTGCACATTACAAAGTGGACATGCAAAATGTTTCTCAGTTGTGTGTACAGTTAGGTGATTTTTTAGTTCCTCTTTGGTACAAAATCTCTTTGGACAAGCTGTACACAGATGGTCCTTCTCACCAGTATGGCGTTTCTTGTGCCTCTGTAATGCACTGATCTGTGTGAACCTCAGTGAACACATGGAACAACTATATGGTGTTTCACCTGTATGTGTCCGCATATGAATTTTCACATCATTCTTGGAAAAAAAACCTTTGCCACAATTTTCACAAATGAAGTTTCGTTGTCGTTTATCTGAAAGATGTGTTCTTTCTATATGTCGTTTTAATGTTCCCCTGTCTTTGTAACACTTCTCACATGAAGGACATGCATATGGTTTCTCATTGGTATGGGATCTCATGTGGATCTTGAATGTTGATGGGTTAGCACATTGTCGGCCACACACTAAGCATGTACACTGCTCACTTTTGTGTTTACATTTCTGTTTGGGTGATTTTCGTTTAGCTGATATTTTAGAAACAGCGCATTCTAATTTAATTTCTAATTTCCTATGTGCTGATTCAAATTGTAAATCATTGTAATAATGGTCATCGTCGCTGTTACATTCTAGTTTTACTTCAATTTTTGGTGAAGAGTCTGATAGAATTTGGGAGTTTATTTCTAAAGATTGAGATCGTAACTTCTTATCGGAGGATTCGCATTTTAGTACAAATTGGTAACATATTGCGAGCTCACTTTCACAACTGCTGCAAATATGGGATGGAAGACCATCACCGTCGTGTATGTTTATATTTGAACAGCAATACATTATTTTTGTACATAGTAACATGTCTTTAACTTTACTAAAGATGTGAGTAGTACCATAGTTCTGACAACATAACCGACACAACATTTCATTCATTTTGTGTGTCACTACAAATGTAATATATTGAAGTATAACAATTAGGTATTACATTTTCATTGAAAATAGATTAAAAGACGGAAATACGAATTTTCAACGAAACACCAACAATCCAAAACTGTCACCTATACTTATTATACTCTTTGCTGTCATCATTGTCAACTGTCACTCCTTCTCACCGTATCTGTGTCTGTCACTGATGTGTCATCTAGTCAAAGACTATAGACTATACACTCATTACTCCTTAGTATAAAGCCAGTAATGCATACTCTTGTGACTGAGTTCTCTGTATATCTCTGCTATATCTGTTTGCCCTCTATTCATCATCATCATCAACAGCCAGAAGACGTCCACTGCTGGACAAAGGCCTCCCCCTTAGTCCTCCACGTCGAACGACAACTCGCCACCTGCATCCACTGGCTCCCCGCAACTCTGGCGACGACATCGCCTTCTATTAATAATAAAATAAAAACTGCGTTTAAAAACCGACTTCAAAAAACCAAAAACTAATAACAAACAAAAAGTCAAAACTAAAAAGCAAAAAATAACTATTATTAGTACTGATAGGTTACCCATCCACTGATAGGTAAGAAGTCGGTGCCATAAATTCCATACAAAATTATTCATTAAAACCTTAATAGGTACCTAATTCACAATTTTGTGGGCATTAAGTTGTATCATTATGATATGAGCTTTTTTTGAAGTCGGTTAAAAAACACTTGTTGTCAGTGTCAGAACATTTAGAACCATTATTAGAACTGTCACTGTCAGACATTGGTTGTCAGAGCAGAGCAGAGCAGAGGCGTCAAAGAATAAGAGAACATTTGTTTATTAGAGAGCTCAAAAGTGCAATTTTATTCATTCATTTGAATAAAAACCTATAAGAATCCTTATGATTTACGTGTACGCATAGCTGTATCATTATTTTTAAATCATACTTTATTAATAATGGAGAATTCGAAGGTGTGTCGAGTTTGTCTAATGAAAACAGCAACTATACCTTTATTCGATGCAAATGTTAATATGCAATTGAGCAGCAAGATGATGCGGTTGGTTAATGTTGTGGTGGTTGAGGGTGATGGACTTCCTGATAGTATATGCGATGGCTGTGCAAGTGAACTGTCTGCAGCGTACGAGTTTGTCATTAAATGTGAAGCCTCAGACAAGGCTTTCCGATCAAACTTTACTAAAATATATGAAGATGTAGTGCCTGAACTAGAACTTCATGTTAAGCTAGAAAATATTAAGGAAGAAAGTGAACATGATGATCATGATCATTTTGACAGTTTCATACTAGACAACACCTGTGAGAGCTATAATGGTAATAAAGTTAAAAGAAAATATAACAAGTCGAAAAAGTTTCAAGCAAACATTGATCGACGGAAGTTAAAGCCTAAACTTGGGCCAGTAAGTTGCAGTGTGTGTGGACATATGGCTACATGTCGGTCAGCCTTAGAGGGTCACATGAGAACTCATACTGGAGAGAAGCCTTTTGCATGTGACTACTGTGGAGCAAGGTTTAACCTCAAGGGAACTCTCAAGAGACATTTAATAACACACCACACACAGAGAGAAAGAAAATTTATTTGTGAAACTTGTGGCAGCAGCTTCTTCACAAAGAGTGACATCATTACACACATTAGAGTGCATACTGATGAGAGGCCTTACCCCTGTCCTTTCTGTGACAAAGCTTTCCGACAAATAGCTTCATTGATACGCCACAAGAGAATGCACACTGGTGAAAAACCATACTCTTGTAATATCTGCTTCAAGAAGTTCAAAGACCCTGGCCACATGAAGAGACATCAGTATGTGCACTCTGACGAGAAGAATTTCACTTGCCACCTGTGTAATAAATCTGTGAAAACTAAAAATGCTCTAAAAGTTCATATGCAGATACACTCAAATGAAAAAAACAACATTTGCAATTACTGTGGCATGGCATTCTCATTTAAAGGCAATCTGCAAGTTCATATCAGAAGAATGCACTCTGAGAGGTCAGGTCATTGCACTGTCTGTTTGAAGACATTCTCTGACTTAGAGAGTCACATGCGTAAACACACCGGAGAGAAGCCTTTCTCTTGCAAGTTTTGTAATCAGGGATTTGCAAGTAAGAGGAGTCTGTCAAATCACATTGTCTTCAAACATACAACAAAGTTTAAGTGCTCCATAGGAGAATGCACCAAGACATTCCCAACTGCTATGATGCTGGAGTTCCACCTACTAAAGCAGCATACACACCACACACCATATGTATGCCATTACTGTTCCAGAGGATTCTTCAGAACAAGTGATCTGTCTCGTCACCTCAGAGTCAGTCACATGGATACTCTTACTCGTACAGTTGATCCACAAATTTCTAAACCTCAGTTGTCAGAATCACCCATTATGCAGAATAATATTGTGTAGCCATGGACTAGTAGTTTCCTAATTTTTGTAGTCTGGGAGAATTTGTTAAAACATTAAACACACCTTTTTTCTTTTCTCACAAAATTAGTTACAATGATAAATATTAATTTTAATAGTGTAAGGTCACGACGTGCTGAAAAATGTCGTGAGGTAAACGCCCTACCTACCACTACTAAACTTAATGCTATTTTATCTTTTACAGTACTTTATAAGAGAAAATAAATAAAACATGTATGTCTAATATTTTTGCATTATCTAACTGATGGTCTAATTAGATTTTTAATTTTCATAACCTGCCACCTACCCTATTACGTGAGGTAGGTACCTAATTTATTACTTGGCATGGTAGCATGGTAATGTTATTTGGGACCATTGATTGTTGTATATCAAATATTTGATTAAGGATTTCACAATGATCTGGACAGGAAACATATATTTTAAATCTATGTTTAAGTTCTAAGTTTATTTTTGTTATATAGTTTGAATTATAGTAATGTAAAAAATGTGCCATAATATGTATTAGAAAATACTTAGGTCTGCCAAAATGTTTGTAAGTAAATGGGACATTGCATAATTTTTGCTATACAATGTATTGTAAAGGCAGTCAATGAGTCAAAACAAGATGATAATAATGAGATGTGTTGATTTGATCAAGATAATAATAGTTTGATCACACATTATAACTAATACAGATACAGGGCATCTTGCAATATGTCTAATAAGTAGAGACCGGATAATATGCATTTGCATATTTGCATATGCATTTGCATATTTAAGCGATTTTCAAGGCTAAAAGCATATTTTTACTAATATCTAGTGATGATGCATATTATTGCTATAATTTACAGTAGGTAGGTATTTTTCGAGCGTAGCGCACTCGGCAGCCGCGCGTATTTTGTTTTGGTAGGTACTCAAAAAATGAAAGAGACAAATGATCGCGCCGCCGCGCGCTCGCCTACCGCGCTACTCCCACCTATTATGCATATCATTATTACTTTGATTGTTGACACGCTCGTGCTCGGATAATTCACCTGCAGTTAAAAGTTTTTGTGTGTGTACAATGCCTCCCGAAAAAGAAAGTTTGTCTTCGTGGATGAGTGAATTTCCTGGAACATTTACTTACGACGGAAATGTTTTATATTGTCGAGTTTGCGAGAAAAACATTTCGTGCACTAAAAAGTTTCAAATAGACCAACATGTCAAGACAAGTGTTCACGTCGCAAAATACTTAAATCTAAAGGAATAATATTTACAAAAAAAAAACTCATTTAATGTTGCATATTCTGTCAGTTTTCGTGCATATTTTAGGCATTTTTCATGCATATTTGCATGCATATTTCAAGCTTTTTATGTTGCATATTATCCGGTCTCTACTAATAAGTATACACAGTCACAGATTATATAGACAGACTCACATGTCATTATTATACATAAATAATATGAAATGACTGCCTCATTAGCCGAGTCGCAAGTGCGACTGCCGGGTAATGGGCCTCGGGTTCGAAAGTTTCTACTGGGTTTAAAAAAAAATCTGAGTAGTAGCATGAAGTCTGGAATTGTGCCTGGTATATGGCAATAGGCTCACCCCCTATTACATGGGACTCATAACATAAATAGTGAAAAGTGGGTGTTACATTGTACAGTGGCATTAAATGCTGTAATGTCCAGCTCTGCCTACCCCTTCGGGTATTAAACTGTTAAACACCAAGCGGTCACCGGTGACCGCTTGTTCTATAATTGTGTTGTTCTATAATTGTGTCTACAAAACTGGTACTCGACGAGTTAAAGGCGTGATGTTATGTTATGAAATGAACAAAAGTTATTAACACATCTATTAGTAGAACATAACATAACATCACACCTTTAATCCCCGAAGGGGTAGGCAGAGATGTACATTACAGCATTTAATGCCACTGTACAATGTAGTAGTAGTAGTAGTTAATTTATTAAATTATTGTGTCATCTCAGTATTAATGTAAGATCTGTAGATAAAACAAAATGAATTAGTTCATTTTATATTATTTTTATTTTACATACATACCAATGTAATTGCAGTTGGTATAAAATTATGATAATTATATAGTTTGGTTTCTAGTGGCAACAAGTACTGGATATATTTTTTGGATCGATATTATAATAATTTGATTTAACTCGTCGAGTAGGTACTGTCGAGTCCTCGACGAGTTAAATACGAGAGTACTCCAGATTTACGATTTATAATTGCAATGCAAAATCAAACATCTAATAGGGTCTAGGATCTAACGAATTAAAGCGCCGCCCCCAAACCGTTCACAACATACCTACTTGCGAGCGACTTCCTTCGCCATGTTAAATCTATTTAGGACATCTGAAGTCAATGGTGGTGGGTTTTGAAACAGTATATAGGTAGTTACTAAGTTTGTACCTCACTGCCAAATTTTTGGGCCTAATGTTTTTGTTTTAAATAATCTTTAGGCTGAAACAGTATCCGCAATGCCGGATTAACCACGTCGCAGAAATATCTTATGCTATGGGAGGGCCCTGTGCGAAACTGACATCCAAAAGACATCACAAAATATGGTGTCTATGGAAGTAACGATCAAACTCAAAAGGATATGAATTATCCAATTCTGTCTTATTTATTTTTCATTTAAAAAAAAAATTATATATAACTTTTGTTTCTACTTAATTTTTGCAAAATGATTCATCTAATTAAAAATTTGCTGGGTAGCTAAAAACTTTTGTACCGTTGACAATTAATTGTACTATATTGCACCGACATACCTATAAAGTCTTAGTAACGTACTACGCACTACCTCTGATCATTTGGCTCCATAATACTTCCAGGAACATCACGAAGATCGAGGACTCCTTAACAGATTTCGCTAAAGGCCCGCGCTTTATTAATCCGTCACTGTGTAACTGTGATTGTACTTAATTTATGAAATTAAATATTGTGAGTACTGTGCTAGTCATTGATTGGTAAGAAGTAAAGCGAAATATTTTTAACAATTACTTTGTAGTTTTATTTAGCAAGTTAGCAACTCTGTCGATAACAACTATGTACCTACGACTGCACAGTTGCCGCGGTGGCTGAGCAATCTGTTGCAGCGCAAACGTGTCACCGATTGGATTCCAGCACGAATAACTTTTGGCGTCATCCAAAAAATTTTGTTCCGGGTCTGGGTGTCACGTATGAATTTGTTTGTAAACTTACCCACAGCACACGAGAAAATCTTAAAGACCTCTCTAGGATATTCTCCGGCGTTTTGAAAAAAATCTACCTACCCCTACAAGGCACAAGTTTTAATTTAATAAGTAGTTAGTTCTCACGTACCTACTTAAAAAATATACATATTTTGATTAACGTTGTGAGTTTGTGAGTAATAGGAATTATCAACAGGTTTCTTAATTAATGCCCTCTTCCTGTCCGCCTGTTGGCAGTTGGGGAGCTCCCTCCGGCGCAGCCCCTCGCGACCAATGGCGCGGAAATCCGCGGTCAAGTTTCAAACGCGCGCCCTCACTTTCCTCCGGTGAAACAGTCAGTAAATGTCGGTAAAACAGCACCAGGTGTTGTAAGTTGTTATTTGCTTCTCTGTCTATCGCGTGACGTCGCGATGCCGTCTCGCTCTCACGCCAATTAGACGGCCAGGTGAGTGATACGCGGAGGCTTCGCGAGTTGCCGACTTGCCGTGGACTCGCACAGAGGACGTTAGCCCACGACCGTCCGCCGCGCTGCACGTATCGCCCCGCGCCCGCGACAACATTACTACCGTGCCAGGTGTCGGTGCCGTGATGGTGTAGACCGTGTTACAGTGCGTGTGTGCTCGACGTTACCATACCTGTGCGGATTGTCGGATACCTTCCAGTGTCACAATGGGAGAAGTAAGTACTCTTTGTATTGTCCGGTTGGAATGCGAGCGTGCTCTAGTTTAGATGGTGGCGGAGACTGCGGGAGGCTAGTCCTGCGAGATCGTAATCGTAGGTTCGTAGGTCGTCGCCTCGTCGGCACCGCGGCACGAGGTACAGTTGTGCAGAGCGGTGTTGCGGGTCGGCGCTCGCGACTCCCGGCAGATCAATTAACACTTTCATACTCTCGACAATAATGGTGTGTTCGGGTATGTGTGTCGAGACTGAAGCCCGGTAGAAAGCTTCGAGACATGTCGCCGAATGCCGGCTCGCATCGGTAAAAGTATTCCAAGTACTGTTATACATCTGATAACGCGTCTCAGATACACTATCATTGATATTGGTCGGAGTTTTATATTTATTGTCATCGAACGTTCGTGCAACAACAAATGAGTGGCTATTGTCTTATCTCTAGGAATTAACGGGCTACGTGCTAGCTTCGATTGTATTGTAATAAATAATCTATCGATTCTTAAGAACATGTAGGTAGCATGAACATTATTGAACATGTACCCACTTACTTATCTATTTTTAAAATACAATCGCTATTGACACCGCAGGTAATGACATGAATAGAATAGTTTAAAAATTGGCAGATAACTATAATTGTATTAATCCAGCACTCGACTGCAGACTGCAGTGTTCTGGCCATGTATCGATGCCAGTGTGGCGGAGTGGACCGCACAGTGAAACTGAATATGGCAATGCGTAGGTCAACAAGCATATTGCACACTGTTGCAGAGGCTGCAATTGACTGACCTCTTTTCAATTAAAAACCCATGTTGTGAATACGTTGAAATGTCTATCATATTATCTATTCTGCTGTTTATTTATTATTTACTAACACAAGTGGGTAAACCAAAACCTATTAGATAACTTTGTCATAGCCGAAACATAAGTAACAAGATAGACATAAGAGAGGAATCACCTAATATTTTGCATTTGCAAAACAACAAAAAGGTCACTGAAGAAAGTTACAATGCGATCAACTCATTAATATTCAACCGAGTCGCAGACATACCTATCAACTTAGTAGTAATAACATCTTGATTCAGGCAAAAAAAGTAAATATCTCTCTATCTAATCCCACGCGTACTATAATAGCAGCGCAGCGGGCAGCGACACACTACGGTGGCTCATACAATCCTACACTTTTATGGCAGATTAACATAAAAAGAAACTAGCAAGTTATTTCACAACTTGTTCTTGTTGCTCATTTCGCCATCATTATAATTTTTGATGGTGTGTGTAAGAGCAAACTTAAGTTTGATGCGTCTACTTATAAAGGCTCTCCAAGTGCGCAGTGCAAGTAAAAATAAAGGAATTACCATTAGCCTCGTGTCTTAGAATGAATTGCATGTTGTCCCCTGTCAGAGACTAAGTTCAAATGTTTTTAACCTCGGGTCAAAGTTCTTAAGTACCGCTAGAGTTGGTCACGTGGACTTTCAGCAATTTATTAGTACCTAACATGTATACACACACCTCACCTAAGTATTTTTTTTATTATTTCACCTATTTATACCAATAATTACCTGATAATTATCCATTTAATCATCGTCAGAGGTAATTACAATAAATCAGGTTTACTTACTTTTGGATTAAATGGTAGTTAGGTAATTGCTAATCCCAAAGGATAAACAAGACAGATTTATGCAGGTAATGAATAATTATAGAAACGTTACGTTAAACTCACGAGGCTCTTCTTATACCTAACCAGGAAGTACCCAAGTGCGTTCACTCAGATACAAATCTAACCGGATAGCGTATACGTCGAACTCGAAACCACGAACACAACAAAAGTAAAACAGTCGGACCTTCGTCATATCACACAGATAAAGAAAAATTTCACAAATTAAGTATTTTATCTATAATATAATATGCAATCTGTCGATTATAATCAGATATTAATAAGATAATATAACAATGGAATGTACATTTTCTCGATTTTTCTTTTTATTTCACCGAGTGTAGGAGTGCGAATGTATTACAAAATTGTGCGCTCGTCTCTAGACTTAATTCATTAAATTACGTTGTGAATTTTGTGCAAAATCTTTGTACCTGTTCAGGATCACTACATTACATCTTAGTGAATATTGATTCTTATTGTCAACTTGTCAATAAATTAGAAATATCACAGTATTTAGATAACCAGGTACGTACTTAATTACTTAATTAACACAAGTAATGAAGCATTCCTTGATATTGGCCTGAACTGCTACGATTCTATAGTACCTGCATAATGTTGATATGGGCTCATGGCTGGAACGATATCGATCGTAGATATCTGTAAGGTCAGCGCGACGTGTACGCCACTACTAGTGCGGTGCGCTCCGCAGCCGAACCCGACCGAGACTTAACTACATAGGTACACTTACCGAGTATGATGTAGAAAAACCAGTCACTATTAAAGTGGCGTAATAATGATAGTGACCGCTAACTTAATAGCGTACGTACTGCGTCTATTAATAGGCTCATTGAAACATGTAAACACTCGCAGGACCCGAGCACACTGATTCCTCAATAGTTAAATAGTAACGGCTCAGTACTTTGTTGTAGGCTGGTAAAATCGTACATAACCATGATTATAGGTTTAGTTTAACTAATAATTATATTGTTGTAGTGTTGTCAGAATACTTACCGAAATATTATTTTTGTTTCAGTCACTGCTGAAAGAAGACCCTCTGTCTAGGATCCAACGCGAGATCATAGAGGTGACAGAGAGAGAAAGAGAATTCAAAGAGGGACATTTTCGAATGAACAGACTAATGTCGGAGTCCACCATCGACGTTAATCATCAGAACGGCCATGTGAATGGTGATGCGGAAGTCAAGCCGCAGAAGAGCCTCAATAGAGCCGTTTCTACCTCACACCTGCTGGGTCCAATTGCACCTTCGCCTCCTGTTACTCCCGCACTCCTCAACACAAATGGATACACGAGGCGGTTTACTCCTCAAACGGGAACAAAAGGTATTATGCAGCGATTCATCGCAAACAAGGGTAAGCTACCAACCCCCACAGGAGGACAAATTCCTACAACCCCTATAACGCCAATCGTGCCGCCTCTCGTGTTCCCTACATCCCCGGTAATCGCCCCGGTGGTTACCCCTCCCGTCATTGACCGCACGCCTGAAGGCAAGCCGGTCAGAAAGGGCTACGTGCCTGTAGAGGAAAAAATACAGAAAGAATTACAGGAAATGAAGGACAGGGAACACGAGCTGAAAAAGATGAGAAAAAAGCAAAAGCCGTATGACCTAGAGTTGAGTGACAACGAGACAACCTCCGAGTCAGAAGACGAGGAGATTCCCATGCCTGGGAAACTGAAGGCGACCAAGTCAATAGGCGAACTGTATGAGGCGCTGAACGAGGAGCTGCGGTCGCCCTCACCTAGAAATAGTTCAGGACATGACTCCATTGGTAGCCTGAAGCCCGCTAAGTCGTTGGCGGAGCTGTGTACACTAGCCCCAGGAGAAGAGTTCCTTGCGCCTAGCTCCACGCGACTCATAGCAAAGTGGGAGTCCCTCATACAGCAAAAACAAGAGGCTGGCGCAGCTTAGGATCGTTTCAAATGTTCGAAAAGGCTAACTGGTTCAAATATGTTGATATGGGCGCGTGACGCCAACTAAACACCGTCGCGTTTGGAGGCAGCTGCCGCATAGTGAAAATTATATGCAAGCCCGAAAGTGGTACCGTCCGGGTGGCTTCAGTTCGTGCGCGGATATTGTTCGGTTCGGTGTAAGAACAGGTGTGAATGAAGTTATTATGTATTCAATATCGGCTCGGTGCAGTACACATGTTGTGTACAGTAAAATCTCATAAGTGCGCGTTTGTAGTCTTGATTTGTTGATCGATTTCTTTCCCTGGCAATCGATTGTGAAGCAATTAATTTTCTCTAGATAGCGAACAATGCAAATGATGGTTATCCGTAACAGCAATTATCTCGCGCGCTCGCGCACTTGGAAAGCGACCGACACACGATGCGAACTCGTCTCTGAAGTGTGAGTAACAAGGTTTCTTCCTATTGTTTCACATCACTGTGAGCTGAAAAACTTAATACATTTTTTCGGCGCGGCGCCGCTTTCCCGTGCACTGTTGTTCTTGTAAAGCCTGCAAGGTGCGCGAGCGCCGACACTTTGTGATTGTGAGAAAATGTATTGATCGTAAGAAGTAAGCGAACAACACCTTGAAATCAGCTCCCAGTATTGTCGAGATATCGCACTCGCGTTCATTTATGAGCCATTAGACCGAGTTTCCGGTTTAGTTTGTAAGCATTTAAGTAGTGGCGTCGATGCAAAGTTTTCACAACACATCCAAAATGATTCAAGTAATTAATACAAAGAGTAATTTACTTAAGATGGCTTTCGCTTTTAGTTAAAGTAATAATGATTCCGAGCGAGGAACAATATGATTAACTCTTATCTGTTGCACTTTCGTTTATTGCATTCACTATGCCGCGGCCGCGGCGGCGCGGTTACATGATTTATTCATCGTTCAAAGATTATAGCATTCTTTCACATAATTTTAAGACGTGTGTAGCCCGTAGAGCGGCGCGCGGTGTTCCACTCAGTGCGCCTGCGCAGCCCGCCTCTGGATATGAACTAGTCGAAGCTGGACTTCGTATTTTGTATTTATTGTTATTTAGAATTACATCGATTTTTATAGAAATGTCGCTAGGTCACTAATCAGAAAACTTGGCCAATCTCTCAGTTGGCTTGTAGTAACAACCTGATGTATAATGTATGTTGTACCTCTTCAGCATTCAATGTGTTCTATTTTCTATCTAAAAGAGTTGGTAGAACTAATCAGATATATCCAAGAATTTTTGTATTTTTCGAATTTATTAAACGAATTGAGCCTTTTACGAAATGACAAAATGTATTGTATTAGTTCGTGTCTCCCGCCCTCGTCAGCTATGAGCCTGCATTGGCTGCAGTGTGTCTACTACCGACTACGTACTTACAAGTGTGATGTTATAGTGAAATAACTTTCATTGTTACAAGTGTCAAATAGACTGTGCCTTACATTTTACACTAGAATTTAGCACAATACTAAGTGTAAAGCAAATAATATGCGTAACTATGTATTTGTACTACTGAACTGACGAAGATATTAGTAACGCCGGTTTCTTATAGTGATCATCATGGCATGATCGTGTCTATGAAGTCTTTTATTGATCGACTGCAAAAAGGAGGCAATCAATTTCCTGTAATGACAGTTCTTGTAAAACTTTCTACTGAAAATAACGTTCGTTACTATAATCTTCGCAGTGTTGCCTTAAACATGTGAAATGTGAACTTTAATAGGTAATACTTTATTAGCACTAGCAACACCACGTCACTAGTACTAAATGTATAAATTATTTATTAGGTACTTAAACGAAACATTTCCTCTAGCATAATAAAATAAATTAGTCAAATTAATTAGTGCATAGATCAAAATAATAATTACTGAGATTGATAGTGTTAATTGTTGCAATATTTTATAAGTAGTAATATTAAGTTTGTTTCTATTTTTGATCAGTGCCACGTGCTAAACATATTTATGGTTAAAAGGGGCCTTGATTAATCAAATTCCTATTTTTACAAAAGTTAGTTTTTCAACATAATCTTAACAAATTGTGATATGAAATTGCCTTGAATGAAATAATAAGATATATACCTGTTGAGAGTAAAGCTATTTGTACGATATATACATATTTATGACAGAAGTTAACTATACAAGTGGTACGTATACTGTCCATATTACATGTCAGAGGTTAATTTATGTTTGGTTAAGAATTTTTCGCAATAAATATTGTAAAAGATGAAGCTATGTTTTATTTGTGTGTGGTGGTAACGTTCCACAGAGCTTTCCTTCCAGTGGGTCATTGTGGGGTGTCGCAATGCGTATTCCTGAACGCTACACAGACCCCGTGGCCTGCCTGTTACAACACTTTCACCTTTTGAGCTAACGTTGACATTACTAAAGGTTACAATGGAAGAAGAACTTGGAAAATCTGATGAAGGTATAGGTTAGTAGTATATACATACATTATGTACATGGCGCATTGCTTTATTTTCCAGTTCAGTATTTTTTAAATATCAAATTAATTACCCCATTACTGGTAACCTGATGATGATAAAATTACAAGTAAATGACATCTTTAAGCGGGTTTCTGTTTTGTCCTATTTATTGATGACCTTAAATGACCTATAAACAGAAGTGGTACTTTAGGCTGCTGCTGTTTGTATTTTTTCTTTTAATGGGTTACCAATTACCAATGTGGTATTTCATTCATTGTTTTTCTTTGTATATCACTTAACAAATTATCAGACAATTTATAGCTAAACCGTGTACACTCAGCGCTCTATAGCACAAACATTCTTTGACAGACGTTAAAATTGATTTATGTATTTGGGATCTACGGATTACCTTTTTTGTCTGTTTAGTACAATACCATTTCTATTAAAGGATCAAACACTGCTTTCAATTCTAGATGTGTAATCGTGGTTGGAAAATAACAACAAATGACGGATGACCTCAGTGTTCGTGACTCCATCTTCCGCGAGCGCTGTCAGCTGATGATCCAATACCTCGCTACCTCTTCTATTGTTTCCAATACGTTTATCACTTTCATAATTTAAAATTCATTTATAATGGACAATAGCCTCCGATAGAATTATAATAATAATGGCTATTAATGAGGACGGATATAATAGCTGTTTATCTGTGATGAATAACTTTTGCTAAGGAACAATCGTTGACACAGTTTTTAAGTCACGCTAATCGGATTTGTTGTCGTGGTTATCATGCTATATTGTAGACCTTACTGCCTGTTGATAGATTTTATAATCGAATGCCCAGACTACCTCAATGATTTTTTCCATTTTTGGATTACTTACCTGGTTTTATTAAGTTAATCTTTTGGAGGGTTTAAAATATGTGTGTACGTTTGCCCTTATGATTAACAACCCTTCAGAAAAAACGTGGTGTAGTTTGTTTAGGGTCAGAGCTGTGTAGTGTTTGTACTTCGTTATCTATCTGTTTGTGTTATTTCACACGCTCCCGAAATAAGAATTTAGAATAACAAGATAAACCGTTTGATAAGAACTTTGATCAAATATAAGACGGAGAGATTTTACAGAGAAATGCATTACATTGTGTGGCTGTGGGCAAATGAATTTGTTGAAGTCAAGATCTTGTGGTTTCCTAACATCGTTGGAACTTCCAGTCATTGACTGCGTCATCAGAATTAAGTGATTACCAGAGTAACAAGCCGTCAATACATTATTGTTGAGAGTGATACCAGTTATATTTATCGACAAGTCATGATACAGAATGGCTGGGAGGTGGCAGTACGTGGCCATTGAACGGCATCGCCTGCGCATCTATTTGGACAACTTTTTAATGACTTCCGATGTTCGTGCTTACCGTTACGTTGTCTATTCACAAATATTCATAGTCATACATTATTCGCTCATTCAATATTAATACTGTGATCATGAGTTTGAGTCAAAGGAAAATATAAGATGTTATTTTTTTGTAAAAAAAATATAACTGCTTCCACATAAACGGCTTTTTACGGTCCATCACTGATCAGAGTCATTAGTTACACCGTCCCCTGTCGAATTTACATTTATAGCGTCATATTTTGCTGTATTATGTAAATAAATAAACAAAAAAGGATCTGCATAAAATGGAATTAACAATTCCATTCTTGTTCTAGATGCGTGGTGAAAAAATCCTTTTAAGAACTTTGTCAAAAGTATTTGTAACAGTTATTGTCGTATACAAATAGACCAGACTGTTACTTTTTCTGATCATAGTTGTAGCAAAACTTGTGATGCTTAGTCGTCAGATATTGAATGACCTACGTAAGATTGGCACAAACATTAACTTCATGTTAGATCTGATCATAAATAAATGAAAATACCTATGTAACCTTAGCATGAGACGCGGGTAACATACGTACGTATACAGAGACACATACTAGATAGCTATCTCCGCTGAAGTCGTCATAATGTCAAGTTCGGAGTCATGAGTCGCTCACCTTGGTTGCTCACGTTTTCATCGGTGCCTTGTGTCTATGTGCATATAGTTCACTTTTGTCTGCACGTGTTGTGTTAGGGCAGACGACCTTTGTATGGTCACGTCTAGTAACCTATCCTCTACAACTGTAGTGCTTGTGTCCAATGCGTGTACTTCGGTTCTGAAATTACTGCCCAGTTCTAAGCGCCTTGGGACTTAACTTCCTACATTATTTGCTTTGTATTTTGTTCTAAAGTCGTTGCGACAACGGTACACGAGTCAATGTAATCGATTTCAATGCTTTGCATGTATCTAAGTACCTACCTTGTTTGTTATACAGAATGATATGACGATAAAATATTCAGATTGACGTAGACCGTCTAAGATAGACCTTAAACGAAATAATTAACCTTCATGTTGAGTAACTTTACAATGAGTGGTTCTTCCTTATCGTCTTAAGTAATTACGAGAACATTACAAAAATGAAACAGTTATAGTTATAACAAATCCAATTTAGCGGCATGCACCGTCACGGTCGGCGCGCGGCGCCTACGTTCGCTGGCGTATGATACTTACATACTCAGTACAAGTGGCCACAACAATACCTGTGATATCGTACGATCTGATATTGAAAGTTGAGAGAAAAAGTTCACTTCCTGTAATATGAGTAATGTGACCACCAAACCACTGCAGCGCGGTACGACTTGACGCTTGTGTCGAACGATGTATATATGACGTAGTTGCGACGTTGGGACGAGGGGATAACCTGCTGTTTCTTATAATTAAACAATTCTTGGAGTCATTAAGATTTGTCTCGTGTGTTTCATATTTACCTAAATAAAACGAATGCTACAGGAAAGTCAAAACGTCTTCAGGATGCAAGACGGGTGAAGCAGATTTGATTTTTGCTTTGAAAATTCAAAGACATCGTGTATATTTTCACAGAAAAAGAACCTTCTATGTTAGGGCTTAGAAAACAAATATGATAGATACTAAACCTTTCTACATGAACTCCAATTTGGCGGCCATTTATTGTGACCAATTTTGGAGTACAAATGTTGTAGCGTGTCGCTGAGGGCTTCATTTGGGAGTGTCGGAAGTGGACCTCATGCCACACAAGTCGTGACCGACAACTGGAGGGCGCCCAGCGACAACTTCCTGCACAGTGAAGCCACATTGTACACAGGAGACCACCTTCTGCACCTATCAGATTACTGATCGACATGTCACCTCGTGCCACACGATCTTTAGGGAATTAATTAATGGGTCATCGTCACATGGACAGTCGTGAGGTTCTAAATCAATTTTCATATTTTGTACTAGGTACTCATAGTTATTGACATAACTTTCATTCTCCTGATCTTACATGTTTGTAAATGAAGTAATGTTTCTGCTTGTTTACCAATCCGTTCACAGATTAATTAGTCAACAAAGTCGGACACTCTCTACATATCCTGTTTGTCTTGTTTTTTTGTTATTTTCCGTCTGCAATGTTACAACGCCACAAAATGTCTTAATACAAAATACTTGTATTGTTATCGATTTAATCATCGACGAATATAAATGAGTGATAGTGTGTCTAATCGGTGTTGTTATCACACTGGTACGGCCATTTTATTACGAACATTCTTTTATTAATTGTTCACGAATGTTTAGGACGGATGCCGATTGACGATAAATTGTATACATAGGTACCTAGATTTATTATTAGACATCTATATATTGTGACGTCATATATTTTGATACTCCTACTTTTAAGGCGATGCGTACATTATGATGTAGGTAAATAATGTAGTATAAACGTACGCAGGGATTACGTTATGTGACGTGCACACTGTACAGTCAGCGAAACCATGACAAACTCCACGTGTTTAATGACTCAATTATTACTTACCTACTGCCGAGGTACTTTTGATTAGACAGCTTACAAAAATGTTGTAAAGTGGATAGTATGTGCTGATTTTTACTGTAAATAAAGATTTTAGTTCTTAGTGTGACATAACCTTTTTAATCCTTGATGCATTCATGCATTCATTAAATCTGACGCCTGCTTTTCGCCATTTAAATAATACTTGTTCATAGGTATAAAAAATGGCTGCCTGTGACATGGCGACATTCGTCAGAAGTAGGTAAGTCAGAGAGTTGGCTGGTGGCTGGTCACCTGGACGTCTTCTATAATTGGCTTAGCTCGAGTGAACCCTGTAGTTATGTACAATAACTCGGTAAGCTTCTTAACGCTCACTTACTTCTCAGCCACTAATTAACTTTAAACATTTCTAGTCATTAAAATAGGGTAACTAAGACTAGTTGGAAAAAGGTTACTAAAAAAACTTTTGGAAAAACTGAAATGGAACACGTGTACATATCAAACGTCCTTTAAATAAATAAATGATCATTGGGATCGATTCGTTGGCA